ATTATTTCGTTTTTATCTTATTATTATTTCCTTAAGAACAGTTACTTATATAGAATACTAAATATAAACTGCAGTACCATTCGATTTAATAGTTTTGTGAACATAGGTTAATGGTATGATGTAGGTAATTTACAGAAAAATAGTAGGCATCACATTAACAACCTTTAATAGTCCACTGCTGGACATAGGCCTCTCCTTAGAAAGGAGGTTTTGGCCTACTATAACACGCTGGCCAGACGGGTTGGTATAGGGTTTGTTTCAAGTTTTTCTTCTCTTTGCAGTGCTCTTGTCCTGCGTAGTTTGCTCCCTTAGTCGGCTCTTACGACACCCACGGGATGAATAGGGGTGGTGATACTCGGTATTCTTAATCCGTCACCACACGGACCAGTAGGCATAGTCAATTTAAAATTCATTGCCGATAAAATGATATTACGAGTACGTAGTTACATGTCCACTAGTAGCTACTAGCAGTTAATTTTTAGAATTACATAAATTTGCATAATATAAAATAAATCAAATATAATGTCGAAAAATTATTAAGTCACAATAGATCAAACAAATAAATTACGACTATCGAGACACCCGAATCAGCTGGCGGGACAGCTTATTATCTTTGAAAGCATATGTTGACTAATAAATCGTCGGAATATCTTCGATGAATAGAAACTCAAATCCAAACTATGAAAAAGAAAGGGCTTGTTTACACCTGCACCTGTGACGAAAAAAGTACGCACCTCATTTTTGTCTGGATAACTGAAGAAAAGGGTAAAATCCAAATAAATACCATGTTTTGATTAAAGATTATATAAAGTTGAAGTACTTGAGATTCTCTTTTTAAAAACATAACATTAGGAATATATTCTGTGTCGCGGGGGATTTTACGAACATAGATGAAACGGACACACATAGTGTCGTCCTATGTGGGGTCGGACCCACAACACTCAGCGTAGTGGCCGCTTAAACCACTATGCCATCCGTGCAGTCAGTACAGCAGTAATATTTGAAATATACTAACCAAAAAATTGAGACGAAATAGGGAGTAAAAACGAAACAGTGATATTATACAGATATAGATTTCGTCCACTTACATTATTGCATGTATTGAACATCTGCAAGTCAAGAGGCAAAATGTTGGGGTTCGGTAATCTCACTCACTCGTTGAAAAGCCACGAAAGAATTGATTAACAGCGGTTTTCTGTGAAGTCGTGGTATCACTTTAGTCGAGACTCCAAATATATCTCAGTGACTTCAAGCAATTTAGAAATTCTTTTTTTTTTAATGACAATGGTACCATATTATTATATTGTCACTTAAGACCCATCTTTATCATCATTAATATCTTTAGACATAGGACTCTCCTTAGAAAGGAGTTTTTGGATATGTGCACACCATATTTGAGCCTATTACTAATATAATAAGAAAATTCTACCACATTCACACCATTTAGTATCAACCCGACAACTGGCAACTAGACAACTGATATAAATGCATGTATACTTTCTTTTTTATAAATACATACATATTATACATAGAAACACCCAGACCAAATCAAACATTAAATGTTCATGCACACAAATGTTTGACTTGAGCGGCCTTTGGAATAGCAGTCCGTTACACAAACCACTACGCCATCCGGTCGTCGGTATTTATTAATGTAGATATTTATTTAATAAATAAATAATAATAATAATATTTGGAGCATTTGACACACAACCTCATCTATTTTCAAACTAAGCAGAGCTTGAAAACTATATGCTTTGAAAACTATATTAACTCATAGAATACTTATATACTTTCACTCCGAAACAAATATTTGCAGTTTCTACAAACATTTCGGGAATCGAGCACGAGACAACAGCACTGCACCACACCGAGGCAGATTATAAATGAATACTTCATTTTGTTTCAGATAGAGAAATACAAAAATGTGTAAATTATTTATAAAATGAATAGATTGTTTACAGAAATATGATAGCATATCATATTGTAGTAAAAATACAACGAGTCCATTAGAATAACATTTCATTATGATGTCAATATTGAATATTTAATAAGCAAATGACAGGTTATTTGCGAGTTGGGTCGTGAATAATTTTGTTCTCTTCATACTGTGTACCAGTTAGCTATGTATTTTTTAGAGATGTGTCGAAAATGGTCTTGGCCGACAAGTGGACTAACCGATTAGTCGGTTATAAAAAGGCTGAGTAATCGGATGTCAAGTCGGCCGATTACTGTTTTGGCGAAGGAAGGATTACCCGACTGCCAAGGAGTGTAGTTGTAGTTTTGTTTGTAAATTTCTTTATTACCTCGTATATTCCGAAAGGCCTTATGGATTTCGACAGTTAAGGTATGTTTTTATCTTTCTCAATAAACCAAATGTCTTTAGATAGCTTTTTGAGACAGAAAATTTAAAAGGGTATTACAAACAAAAATAAGTAAATTAAAAAGGATAAATAATAAGACTTTTTTTTAAATAAAGTTTTTGATGGCGTAAAAATGGCCATGTTTAAGTCGGACGTCGCACTGTTTCGGTCTTTTTAGTGTATTACATTTAAATTGTCTTCTTGCAGTCGGGTTTTTGATTTTTTCAAATTATTATTTGTTACTTTTTCACTGGCCAGAGCCCCCGCTCTGGCTTTGTGTTAAAAATAATAACTGTTATTATTCCTTAAAATCAACGAGCTCAATTAAAATTTAATCAGGTCAAATTATCATGTGTTTGAATTTTTTTGACAATTGAAAAATACAGATAAAGTTAGAAGACGGCACTCTTATATCGAATAATCACCGACTGGTCAACGACTATAAAAGTTGTCATCCGACAGCTATCCAGTTGGCTTTACCGACTAGTCGGAACATCTCTAATATTTATCAAATGATACATGAACGTTGCCAGTTACAAAAATAAATTTGCCATCACTTACGTTACGTTCATAGTAAAATGCTGAGAATATTAAGTAGGTACTGTTCTATTCGTTTTATTAAAGAAAATATTGAGTCTTTCCTTTGGCAAATTCTTGGCAGAGTAACGTTTCTTTCTTTCATTTCTACGACGAGGTTTAACAAATTATTGTTCGCATTTAAACTATGAGGGCAATTAAGACTGTAATTATAAATGGTAGAACATAAAAAATAAATTATACTAATGTCATAAAAATGCGTTAAAACCACCAGAGTACTTAGACTACGGTTTCTAAAGCCTTTCAATTTATATTTGTTTTAATTTCATGTCCCATTATAAACGACAGGATATCAACAAGTACTACATCATTATTTATACGTGTAAACAGATTAGAAAAATGTTTCGCTTTTCCACGTTATTTAATACACAGATTATTTAACGATAAGAATCAAAGCGCACCGCTATGACTACAGATTAACAAACTAAAAAATTAGCTCTTCAAATTTTAGTATCAATAATAATAGTGTATTAACTCTAAAAAGTATGGCGAATGGCCTCCTAGCCTCCTGTCCCCTGGCTTCATCGTCAGACTATCTTTCAAGATCACCAAGCTCAATCTGTGGGATGATCCAATCGTATCATAGAATCCCAAACTCAAGAGGTTTACTAGAGAGTAAGTTTCAATTTACACCTCAAAGCGCCATCAACAGATCAGCTATGTTAATATTGTCATCTAAATTACAAATATATTCAAAGTTTCCTTATCACACGACAGTTAGAAATAGGTTAGACGTAACTTCCAAGATTCATCTACATAATTATTTAGTTCGTTACCAGTGAAGTTGATAGAAGAGTGTTGATTCACTCTTAAGCAAATAAAGCTAGCAAAAAAAGAACCTATTTAAAAGTTTATCTAAAAATTATCGTCATCTTGGTCAGCCTTTAATAATCCACTACTGGACATAGGCCTCTCCTTAGAAAGGAGGTTTTGGCCTACTATCCCACGCTGGCCAGACGGGTTGGTATAGAGTTTGTGTCAAGTTTTCCTTCTCTCTGCAGTGCTGTTGTTCTGCTTAGTTTTCTCCCTTAGTCGGCTCTTACGACACCCACGGGATGAATCATGGTGGTGACACTCTGTATTCTTAATCCGTCACCACACGGTCCAACGGAAAAATTATAATTATCTTCAATCCAATTGAACAAAAAAAAATATTTGGCAATCTTTTATTTTTTACGTAGACATTTTACTCAAACACTGGAGGAAGGCTGGATAGACCTATTTAGAATCTTCTTTTGTAGTTTTTCGTTTTGTTTTACTGTTAAGTTGACATCGTTGCTAATCAGCTTAGAGTCTAATCATGGGTTCATGATGAAATTGAAGTACACTTGAAATAATATAGACACACGATTACCAGGCACAAGTGGACTAATTACGAGTTATAAATATAAAATAATAACACACAATATAATTGTTTCTCATACACATTCTCTGTTTTTGTTTTTCAAAAATCGTTTGCAGCTAAATTATATGCATGGTTAATGTAATTCATGATGGCTGGCAGGAGCTGGATCTAAGGAAAATTCATCGAAATGGCGTGCAATAGGAGAGGCCTTTATAAGGAGAGAGGCCTGATATGCTGATGATGAATATAATTCAAAGATAATATATTTATCCTGCATGCAAACAGTATCTAACGGTAAAAGACTGCCTTCTGCATCAGGTTGTTTTCCATCTGCCTAATGTCTAATCCATGTGCCGAAACGACTATTGGCAAAAATATTGTGGAATCCACATCACACATGTGGACAACCTCATGGAGTATTAGTATTATTAGTCATACAGAATGCAACCTTGTCATGTTATCCTTAAAAATACAAACCCAAAACCTTGATCTAATATAGGGCCTGTGACCCTCAAGGCTGTACATGACCACACTATCAACTCAGCCAATGAGGATAGTTTATTTTTTTACCCTACCACTCCATTTTATAGTATACAGTATCCTGTTGCTCGAAGTCATATAAAAGGGATCCACATCGATCATTAACATCATAATATTAGTGTCCTGTCATCACCTGTCAAAAGCATTCAATCAAAATGTTCAAATACGTAAGTACCTATTTAACATTTAAAAAAAAATCGGGTATTTCACTTAATTCAATTGTTTTTTTATTGTACTTCAAAATGGTGGAGGTTATGATTTCGAATAAATTTTATATGATCAAATTTATTCTATATTCTATACAAATAAATAAAATTGAAGTGTCTATTTGTAATGTCAAAATATTAGGTTTATTTCATGCTCACACGGTTATTTGCATGCTAACTGTTCCTAAAAACCAGTTTAAATATTTTTGTCTGTCTGTCTGTCTATCTGTCTGTTTTTTCTTCAGTAATCTTCAGAACAGCTGGACCGATTTTGATAATATTATTATAATTGTAATACTAGTTAGCTATCTATATTGTCTCTACTGTCTATATTCTATATTGGTTTTGCAAGTTACAATTTTTTTGTATGTTGTTTATTTGTAAACTAATGAAATGTCAGGAAGCCTCATCAATAGGATCTTATTTGGTTCACAGCAAGCAAGACAATGGAGTCTTTGCCTTGAAAAAATATCAAATCAAAGTTGATATAGAAAAAGCCGCTCTCAGTTAACTTCATATTTATGTGAGATCATTACTATTTAGCATAAACCACAATGGATGACTATAATAGAAAAAAAATAAGAATTTCTACATGGTTTTTAAAGATATTCAATGACGTTGTTCATGACAAAAGCGCTTTGTGTTAAAATCTATAATAAAACTGAACTAAAAATAGGTTTTAAAAATGTAAAATTGGTTTCACATAAGAGTACCTAATTCTTTTACTATTACTTAACACTACACTATTATCAATAAAACAGAGTATAATTATGAACTTATAGGTTTTCTTTTCTTTATTTCTTGTTTTCGATGATATTTAAATAATAATTTTATAATTATAACACAAAAATATTTTTTGTAAACAATTGAAATAACACAAAAAATAAAATTTTAAAAAACATAAAAAATGCTACATCGCTACATATCTTTAGTTCCTTACTAATAAGGAATACACTTATTATAAAGTATCTATGTTTATACTTTTTTTTTAAAGTGAAAACTTCTTTAGGCGTGTTGGGCATTTCTGAAAAACAAACAAAAGAACATATTTTTTGAGATGGAAAAAAACATTGAACTCCCGACACTGTTACCGTTACCGACACGTCTGTATATCTGTATACATTGGCCCCGTTTACACGAAAGTTGAGTTTGGGTTTAAATATATTGATAGTATAACTATATATTTTATACACATATATTGTGTATATAAGAACAACATAGATATATATTCATGTCAGTACTTTTCGAATCGAAAAAGAAATCAAAAAATTTTAAATTTTAAATTTTTCACTATTCTGTCGGCACTCCCGGAGCGCCAGTGTTTTTTTTCATATTTTTAGTTACATACTTAAGTGATCAAGAAACTTTACAAACACATAGTTAATATTCGTTTCGTCTTGTGACATGCTTACCTACATAAAAATAATGTACCTTTGATTGCTAATGAATGACCTTATCATTACTGATGCACCTCATGCAACACAGACAGTTCGTGTATACTAAATACGAATATATTCAATCATGGGGGAGGCGTCATCATCAACAGCCTTTACAAGTCCACTGTTGGACATAGGCCTCTCGTAAGAAAGGAGGTTTTGACGTACTATAAAACGCGGGCTAGACGGATCGGTAAAGGGTTTCTTTCAATTTTCCTTCTCTTTGCAGTGCAGTTGTCTAGCGTAGTTTGCTCCCTTAGCCGGTTTTTATGATACCCATGTGATTAATAGGAGTGTTGACAATGTGTATTCTTAATCCATCACCACTATGGCAGGCCATGTTTTGGCATAAATGGGCCGGCTCGACATCACATCCCGCCTTTAATGCCTGAATTTAACTAAACCATACAGTGGTGATGACGTACAAAAGTGGATTAAAAAGAGAGAAAAGCCTCAAGAACTGCGAATATAATAATAATATTAGGTCCTTACATATGAAGTTGGCGTCTTGTATGGGTGGAATATAAAGTCTTTTTTTTTTTGTAAAATATATTTAATTAATCAAAGTATGCACCGTTGTTATCTATGCACTTTTGCCATCTCATAAGTAGTTCATTGATCTCTTCACAAAAAAAACCATGGCGACAATCAATATACTCTTTGAAGGCGGTTTGGACTGCCGCATCGGAGTTGAATTTTTTTCCTTGTAAGAAGTTGTCCAAATTCCGGAAAACATAGTAATCTGTTGTAGCAAGGTCCGGGGAGTACGGTGGATGTCGCAGACATTCCAATTGTAGCTCATCTAACTTAGTGGTTGTTTGTTGTGCAGTGTATAGTCTTGCGTTGTCGTGAAGCAGCAGTGGCCTAGAGCGATTGACCAATCTCGGTTGTTTAGCAGCTAGTTCTTCCTTCATGGTTTACAGTTGCTGATAATAGATATCTGCCGTAATCGTTTGGCCAGATTTTAGAAAGCTGCAGTGAACGATACCGGCGCTAGTCAAAATTGACCAACAAGTAACTTTTTCTGAGTCAATTTTCGTTTAGGGCGGGATTTTGGTGGGTCTCCAGGGTTCAGACATTGCGACGAGCGCTGCCGATTATCGTACAGTATCCACTTTTCATCAAAAGTAATGATTCGATTTAAAATCCCTTCATTATTGTGTTGATTGAGCAAAGTAGTCGGCAGTCAACGCGTGTTTGCAAGTTCGATTCACTCAATTCAAGAGGTGCCCAGCGTTTAAGTTTTTTACTTTCCGTATTTGCTTCAAGTGGATTAATACAGTTTTACCACTTACTCCGAAGCCTGCCGTTATCTCTGAAGTGCTTTGTGATGGCTCCGCTTCTACAATAGCCTTTAATTCTTCATTTTCCACTTTGGTCCTCGGCCGTCCACGGGATTGGTTCTGAAGGTTGAATTTCCAGAACGAAAACGTTGAAACCAAAAACGTACCTTGCTTTCTTTTGCGACACCAGCGCCGTACACATCATTAATCCTTCCAGCTGTTTCTGCAGCACTACGGTAGAACTCGTACTCGTTAATATACCGATATTTCATGTTTTCCATTGTGCGGTAATAAACGACGCCAAAGAAAAAAATAATGAGGAAAAAACAAATTAATGACTGTTTTCAAAACTCAAATGTATCAGTTAAATGAATTTATAAACTTGAATTTGGAATTCTTAACCAAAGAGGAGATATTTCAGATCAAAATTCCTTCGCTATTGACCGCGTGAGAGATTATCGAGAGATTATCAGAGCCTATACTCTCAAAGGGTCGAGAAAGGCGGGGGGGGGGGCACGGCACTCAAAAGGCTGGAACGCACTTGTAACTATTGAGTTGTGGGTTTTGGTATGGTATTTAAAATTGATTAATTAACGCGATTTATAGGTATTATAAAAATATGACTTAGTTGAAATTTGACGTAGTGGTTTAAGCGGTCACCTTGCCGCTTTCTATTGCGTAGTTAGTTGAGTGTTGTGGATCAGATCCCCACATGGGACAACACCTTGTGGGATTCACAAATTGTTGTTCTGAGTCTGGATGTTCTTTGTGTGCGTGTAATGTATGTTTGTAAAGTGTCCCGCGACACATAATATATTCCTAGTGCGGGAGTTGTCTTACAAAAAAATAGGACTAGTTCGCGTAGTAATAAATTATTACATTTTTATCAAATTTTATTATTGTTTATGATTGTTTACAGTTACTTTAGGATTAAGCTGATCTTAAAACAACATTAAATAGTCGACAATTCCCAAAAAAAAAATCAAAAAATATTTGTGGAAAAGTGTTTTGAAACCCAATTGCAGTCATATATACCTACATATATTTAATGGATATTTTTATTTCATAGGTGCTGTTTGCTGCTATTCTGGCTGTTGCCTCTGCAAAAGCCAAGCCGCTAGTGATCGACTATCATGTACCCACCTACGAATATGCCGCTTATACTGCTCCAGTCGAATATTCCTACAGCGCCCATTATGATCACCACGACCATATAGCACCTTTTTCGGCCTACTCTTATGAATATGCCCCGTATTCTTATTACGAGTACCTCCATCGCTGAATCTGAATCTTTATATGGAATGGAATATTAGAACAACGAATTAAGCAATAAAATATTATTTATAAACTTATAATAGGTAAAGAGCAATTCGAAATAAAAATCTATTTAATTTGAGATTGTGGTATTATTTTTAAAGTATATTTCACGGCAACGTGTGGTGACAGATAAAGAATACAGTGTCATTCATCCCGTGGGTGTCGTAAGAGCCGAGAAAACTACGCAGAACAACAGCACTGCAGAGAGAAGGAAAACTTGAAACTAACCCTATACCAACCCGTCTGGCCAGCGTGATACAGAAGGCCAAAACCTCCTTTCTAAGGAGAGGCTTATGTCCAGCAGTGGACTATTATAGGTTGTTAATGTGATGATGATATGAGTGTTTGTATTAAATCTTGTAACTATTTCGCCACTTTGTTTTCCGTTCAGTATAAATATTTGAATGCATAAACATTTCGTTTGGTTCGGATTTTCGGGTGTATCTACATAATATAGAGGGTTACTTTGTAAGTCGACCTAGATACTTTAATGGGTTGTAGTTGCTATCATTTCTGATAAATTTCACTAGGAAATACCATATCCCAAACCTAACCATTTTCAAGATGTTGGACTTTTGAGACTTTTATAAAATTTTCCCAAATTTTGCTGATACAATTTTTGTAGAACTTATATCCTTATTTTTTTTGTTACTGTTTTGTGTAGTTAATACATTGTTTTATAATTTAAATTACCAAAAGTCTATTTAACTTATTAACTGTGCAAAAGTAGATGTAATAATAGCAAAAAGAAAGATTTTTTTTTTCTTTGACGAATATTAAAATATAATCTATGACAGTTAAGTTGCAGATGTGTTCAAAAACATGTATATATTGTCAGCTTTCTAACATAGCATATAAACTCATAGAAAATAACTTAGATGAATGACCCCGAGTGCATCTCCAAGACCTTCGTTATCACTCACTCTGCCTCCCTCGCATTTTTTCTGCACCCTAATATACTCCCTTATTTTATCGCGCCTGAAAAACATTAAATTCTCAGGAAGTGTTGGAGTTCGGTGGTTGGCCATAATAAAAAACCAACCAAAACCATTTCCTTATATGAGATTGCACTAATTTCAAATAAAGTTGGGAAAAGAGCAGGAAAATGGCTATGACGACTATTTGCATGTACACATTTCAAACTGCCTTAATTTATGTAATTACTTTCGTAATCTGATTCTGACTGATACCTGAGACTGAGGATAAACACACTTATATATTTCCAAATACTTACATATCATAGATAAATTACACCCAGACACAGAATAAATAATCGTTCTCATCACACAATTATTTATCCTGAGTAGGAATCGAACCCACGACCTCCGGCTTAGCAGTCAGGGTCACTAACCACTAAACCAACAGGCCCGTCAAACTATAACAGTACCTTGAGCGCTTGTTTTATCAAGCGCTTAGGTATTTCTGTTTATGTAGCGGCAGTAAATTTACCACATCCTTAGAGTGCCCTTCTCCCAGAATATAGAGAGGAAACAGGGATTTCCTTTCTCTAGTGCAACTTGCACCTGGTTTCCCGGTTTTTGATGCCCAAGACGGCGTGAGGTTTTTAGTCGATTTGAGTCCGACCTAACCACCCCACTGGTGGGTGGTGTTCGAGGGGATTTTCGCTTAGAAAAAAGGGGGTTCAGTATCCTTAATCAATACTTAGTTCACTGGAAAAGCAATGAAAAATGGAAAAATGACTGAACAGCAGTTTTCTGTGAGACAGTGGTAACTCGGCCATTTGTGATGTTGATAATAAATCTTTTTTTTTAAGTTGAACCGACTTCACTTTTTTTTCCCTGCGGAAATCCCCTCGGATACCATCTGTCGGTGGCATGTCGGACTCGAACCGACTAAAACCGCACGCCGTCTCGGGTACTAATAGCCGGGGAACCAGGTATACCCTAGAAAGGAAGTCCCTGGTGCCCCGGCATACCTCGGGTCATCTACAGACGAGTAGACGACCCCTCCCCGTGTGGGAACCTCACGTTCCCTGGAATTGAGCGCGCTTCGCAACGCGCTCGCCGCCACACAGATTTTTCCCTGTACTTGTAGTATAAAACGATGTTGCTTGCCAAATTTTTTAGTTAAGACCTAAGTATATGGTTTTAATTTCAACTCGATACCTCCACGCGCTCCCGAGATAAAGGGTCTTGACAGACGGACAGACGGACAGACAGACGCACAACAAAGTGATCCTATAAGGGTTCCGCTTTTTTCTTTTCTTTAAAAATATTTAAAACATCCGGCTTGATAACCTCCTCCTTTTGTAAGTCGGTTAGAAATGGTATTGTTTATTATAGTGCGCAGTCAGAAGTCATTACGAGATAAAAAAAAAGCAGTCGAAGTGCTGCACTCCCGCTTTTAGAAATACAATTTATTTCAAACTAACAAAAGACTACGTTAAGGAACAAGAAACCGCGATGCGCTCTTATTTTTTACCCGTTTTGTATATAATGCCGTTCTAGTGTAGACAAGGAAAAAAGGTTCAAACTTGGTCGCAAGTTCGGGTCACTGAGCTTTCTTTTACGAGGGAATTCAGTTTAAAACTTTGATTCTGCTGATACCTTGGGCTGAATATAAGACAGTGGATTACTAATATTTGCAAGCACTTGTTTCCAAATAAAGTAAAGTCAGTAGATTGGGAGGTTGGTGCGGACAAAATTGTTGACAGTCATTCCATATTGATACAATTCATGAGTTCAATAATGTTTAGAATGTTATTTACATTATTTTAGAGGGTAATAAAAATACCGATATTGTGTATCGTTTTAATCAAAACATAGGATTTAATGCACCAATTCAGAACCGTTTAACTAATATTTAATACTACATTATGATTAAAATAAGCAAGCTCAAAGTCGCTCAACGTGCTATGGAAAGGGCTATGCTCGGCGTTTCTCTAAGGGATCGCATCAGAAATGAGGTGATCCGGCAGAGAACTAAGGTCACCGACATAGCGTACCGGATCAGCAAGCTGAAGTGGCAGTGGGCTGGCCATATTAGCCGCAGAACCGATAACCGTTGGGGAAAACGAGTTCTTGAGTGGAGACCGCGTCTCGGCAAACGTAGTGTAGGACGCATACAGGCCAGGTGGAGTGACGATTTGCGCAAGATGGCTGGCAGGAGCTGGATGCGAGAAGCCCAAAATCGATCTAAGTGGCGTGCAATGGGAGAGGCCTATGTCCAGCAGTGGACTGCGATAGGCTGATGATGATGATGATGATGATGATTAAAATAACAAATTCTAACCCTGTATAACAATAATTTAAAAATTCATTTACTATATTCTAACAATAATTGTACCGAGTCACTTTAAAATAAATTACTAGAAATACTCATGAATAATTTATGAAACAATCTGAGCTGTTAACTGAGTCTTATTTTACTCTTCTGATACACTTCTAGGGAGCATACTAGTACCGCGTTACACCGATGATTATTTTTTTATTATTTTATACTTGTAAATTGCATTTCCATCGCAATTTTTTTTGGAAAGGTTTAAGCATAATTAAGATGTTTAATTCAACTACGCAGAATAACAGCACTGAAAAAAGAAGGAAAACTTGAAACAAACCCTACGACAACACGTCTTGACAGTGTGGCATAGGTCAAAACCGCCTTTCTAAGAAGAGGCCTATATTCAGCAGTGGACTATTTACTACTGATGATCTGATGTGATGTTAATAAAATTTCGCCTTAATCAACTTTCAACCAAGCTTTTAACTTTTGTATGCCTCAATTACTTGGGATCGAAAAGAAACACCATATATTTTAGAAAGAAACAATTACAAGAGAACCCGGTATATTCATAGGATGATCGTTGTTGAATTTAGACGGACACCATTCATTATATACGTTTAGACAAATACTTTGTAGTGTAAGACTTTGTGTAGCCTGAGAAAAATATTATGTAACGTAATACGTGTTTGCTTCACGTAAGCAATCAAAAGAAGTCACGCCTTTCTTGGCCAATGACCTTTAAATTTAAGTCCTATGAACTCATCAACAGCCTATACTAGTCCACTGCTGGACATAGGCCTCTCCTTAGAAAGGAGGTTTTGGCCTACTATACCACGCTGGCCAGACGGGTTGGTATAGGGTTTGTTTCAAGTTTTCCTTCTCTTTGCAATGCTGTTGTCCTGCTTAGTTTGCTCCCTTAGTCGGCTCTTACGACACCCACGGGATGAATTGGGGTGGTGACAATTTGTATTCTTAATCCGTCACCACACGGACTAATCCGTCACCACACGAACTAAAAAACCTATTCTGTTTACAAAACGTGATTCAGTATATTTATTGCAGTGCCTGACGATAACAACTCTGCAAGACGTGCCGTAATAGAAATGCATTCAATGCAGGCTATTGTATGTTCCTTACGTCCATGTTTCATAAGTTAAAAGTGCTAATTAAGTTTTATCCTGAAATTTTTCGGGGGATCTCTACCTATACCTATTTTTAACTCGTATCTAGCGCACCCGTGACACATTTTTGACAATATCTCCATTCAGACACATATCTCGTTAAAAACCTTAATATGTAAAATTAAACAACAACAAGAATGAATTTTTAATTTTTAATATTGTTAAAAAGCATTATTTTAGTTTATTCTTACGGTTTGGAACCACCTGAAAAAGAATATCCTTACTTTATATTATAAAATTTGTGTATTTTTTTTTAAGACACCCCTAGCTCACATATAATTTATCATGTGTCGCGAAGGGCTTTAAAAGAACTTTTAAAGAACATTAAGACTCAGAAGAACAATTTGTGGATCACACAAAGTGTCGTCCCATGTGGGGTTTGAACCCACAACACTCGGCGTAGTAGGAAACGGCGTGGCAATTGCTTAAACCACTACTCCATCCGTGCAGTCAAGTCTTCGACACTAGAAAATGTCATGTGCAAATGTTTTTTTTTTTTAATCTATGGGTCAAAACAATGCGTGGATCCTCTGACCAGGCA